CGAGCAGTAATGCGCGCCAGCACCAGAAACAAATAAATAAATACTATCAAGCGACACCCGCGTTGTACCACTAGAAGGACATACACAATGCGGCGGACCTCATAGGTAACAGTGCTACAAGGTCGCTGCCAATTCCACGCGCAAAGCACGCCTTGCCACGCCGTGCACGCCAGCTTAAACGGCGTCTGTGAGTTTACGCGCAGATTTGCTTAATTCAGTTGACTCAATTGTGGAAAATGTGCGGCCTCGGTGGGATTCGAACAGCCAACGCTCTACCATTGAGCTACGAGGCTCACCGTACGCCGTGAATTTAATCACACTTGCATCGAGGTTACCCGCGCAACTTGCTGCGATGTATGGAATCCAGCATTAGGGAACAGCAAGCTGACTGCCCAGGCAGGATTTCCTAAGGCAGTATCTAGAATTCACTAGAATGACTATTAGGCACGTCAGTTTAAACATCATCCATGAATTTACGTGCACTTGCGGATGCCAGGCGAACGCAACGACAATTACCAGTCAGATCTACAGAGCACCCGCCTAGATGGCCGTGAAAGCAGGAAAAAAACGGAATTCTGCGTTCATCCATTACGAAACATTAACGCGAAGGGGGCCAGAAGTTGGACCCGAAAAACATCCTTCCAAGTACTTTTGGGGCCACGAGTAACCCGTACATTACGCTACCTGGAGGCGGCCTATATATGGCGAGTGAAGCCCGACGTATGCAAAGAGTTGGAGCACAGTGTTAACCTAAATTTGCCTTTGTAATATTCAGTTCCCCCATCTTCATTGCTTTGAAGCTTTTTCCAACTTTGGCCTCTCATAGGGTGTTTTGAGTTGCGAGCTCAATTGATTCACCTACGCGGCAATATATCATGACTTTGTTGTTTGCCAATTCCAGCCTATTTGACAGTCAGGCTCTACCACCTAAGTATAAGGAAGGTTTAACAGATTAGAAAAATTTGGGGCCTCAGTGGGATGCGCACCCACATCAGTGGAGAGGGCTTTAGTAAAGCAAACACTCTATCAGTTGAGCTACAAAGGCACGCCAAAAAGCCTTAAATTCAGTCATACTGTTAGGGCGGCCGATTCATAACTCGGGCCATCCTGAGGACACGAGAACAAAGGACTCGAACAGGCTATCGGTGCATGCAGAGCGGGCAAAAAGAGCGACCTTCAAAGGCCGACACCCAAAGAAACGCAAAAACAGCCGCCGGCCAGGTTCTGAGTTCACGCATGACAAGGGCCACGAAAGGACACATGCATGTGCGCGTGTCACTGATGGCGCGACTTGTCATCCTGCGGACACCCCATGATGGCTGCATGCAGAGGGCCCAATAGGGAACAAAGGCTGTTGGTCCTTAAATACGAGGCCGCGAATAGAAGGCGCA